TCAGCTCCAGATAAAAAGAGTAAATTCAGACATTTGGAGGAAATCACAAGTTCAATTCAAGATTAAGTGTCCTCTTTGGGCAACTCTCCCTACTAAGAGACTAAAGCAGAAGGATCAATGATTAGCCTGAAGAATTTGAAATCAGAGGGAGATACTCATCAAGGGGAGTATCCAAAATAGATCAAGATTTTAACGAGTCAATCGAAGACTTGTGACCATCCAAGGGGGAGTGTTGTAGAACAATGGATGTCCACTCAAATAATTAAATAATGGGCAAGTTGCCCTTCCACTGTCTGCTGAAGTTTGCTTCCTACGACTCCTATTTTCTATATAAATACAAACTCCACACAACATCAAAGGAAGAAGTTCACGGAAGAGGAAGGGAGAAAAGAGAGGAAAAGGAGAGGAGAAAATAGAGAAAATTATTTTGTACTCTTATTATTCTAAATTATAAATGAAAGCATCACTGCTGCTCCGAGAACGTTCTCCAGTCACACTGACTGTAGAGGAACCTCGTAAATTTTGTGTCTTGTTTCTTTTATTCCATTGCACACATCATCGATTTTACAACAAATTGGGCAAAGTGGAGTTTTTCCGAACTAAACAAACTGTACTTGAATAACTGCCATGTACTACGTGTCCATCTCTCTAATGCATGAGCTGGACACTCGTACTTCTGCATGTATGACGTCCTCTGTCTGTGGTTCCCACGCCTATTTAACACCTTTTTGTTTTCCTTTCTCTTTTTTTTGTTTTTTTAATTTTTTTATTGTGTAAGAACGCCCCAAAATCTGATTAATTCAAATGATGTGGCTGTCCACATCACATGACACCTAAGATGGTATGAAAATGTAGTACAAAAACATGGTATGAATAACATTACTTCTAATTAAAATCCCCAACTAATTAATCCATGGGCATATTTGGGGTGCATCTAGTTTACTCAATTTCGAATTCTCTACTTCTTATATTAGATCGGTAAAAAATATCGCAATGTTAAAGAATCAAATTAGTCCCTAACAATTACTTATAGTGCTTGATTGTGGTCACGAGAAATGTGAAATTCTTATAGTCTCTTTAGTCATGAAAGAAATAGATAATCGTGACTTATTACTAGTTATTCGTTTTTTTTAAAGAAAAAATAATAATATTTACCTATTTAGAAGAAAACATGTTGTACCCAAAAAAAAGACATGAATTGGGAACATTGGAAGCATGAAAAGAAAATGAATAATACTTGCATTTTTTTTAGTGCTACTATACTCACCTCTCAATGCTATCTTTTCACCTACCTTCTATTCTCACCCACCACAAAAAATTAAAAACACATAATACTCTCTTTAAACCCACAATTATTCCTAAAATGTCCTTGATACATTTGTCCAACTATTTTCCAATAAAAAAAACAAAAATTGAAATTCAAAACCACACCACCCGAGCCAATTTGCTAGCCAACTTTTTCTCTCTGGAAATTTGGAGGAAGAGAGGGCCTTCATGTGGCCCATTTCAATGGAAACGAGGAAAATGAGTGACATCCTTGATCGAATAGATCGTCATTTGTGGACTGGTAATGACAATTTGGGTTGAGGTTGAGTTTGTTTATTTGTGGGTTCAATTGAGATGGAGAAAGGAAAAGACCCAAAACGGTGGAGAATTGTTGCCGTCAGATTGGATGGGGTGGATGTGGCTCTTCGTTTTCCTTCTATTTTTCAATTTATGTCTTGTGTTCTCTTCTAATTTTAACAAAGCAGCAACTAGAAGTGAGAGCTAGTGTGTTGATTGCATCCCGCCATTTTTTTTCACAGCTTCTCATATCCTTCTCCTCAAATCTCTCTTTGCTTTTTGGGACTTCTCCTCCAGATTAAAGATAACAGTGTTTTTTTTTTTTTTTTTTTTAAAAAAAATTAGAAACAAAATTTTGAATTTATGTTATTTTGGCCATTAAAAAAAAAAAGTTTTAACGAAACACTATAGCTACTGTTCATTTTTAAAGAAAAACCATATTTTTATCTTTTCCTGATATTATTCACTACACCTTTATTTGTCATTTTTCATTAAAACTAAAGTTTTTTTTTAACTTTTCGTTAGTTTTCCTTAAAAAAATGATAATGATTAATTTTGTTAGGGTTTCAAAAGTCATTTCACAAAAGGTTAAATATGTCATTAAAATTTTTAACAAAAAAGTGGATGGGAAAATAAGGTTGAGAGGTGGGTATATATCATCTCTTTTTTTTTTTTTTTTTTTTTTGGGTTTTTTGGAGACTTAAGAATTAGCGTACTTTTATCATAAGATGTGTTACTAAGTAAAAGAACACACTCACTTTTCTAGACAGAGAATACAACCCTTATCCAAAAAATATATATGAATCGAATAAACTATATTTTCTAGTATAATTTAATTCGAGAATTTTTAATATCCTCTGTAGCATTTAGCAAGCACAAAGAAAATCAGGAATTGTAACAAGTTTAATACTCGTGACAACCAATTTTGAGTAAAAACTAAACATATACTAAAATTAGGAATCGTAACAAGATGATTGAGTTGATGGATTCGTGACGACCTTTTAATTTTATTTTTTTGATTCTTCTTCTCATCACGTAATTGTAAAAGGCTCCAAACCCTTTATAGATAGGTCACGTCGCTATTAAAAGATGCAGGCACATCCTCCATGCCTCCAAATTCATGTTTTTTTTTTCTGTCAAATTCATGTTTAATAAGCTTTTTCCAACAACAAAAAAGAAAAAAAAAAGTTTATGATGTGCAACAAAGCTTATAAACGGCTGAAGCTAACGTTTTGCATATAACCACATCGAAATTAGGCAACACTATGTTAAATTTATGTAATTTTTCCATTTAAAAATAACATATCTACTACTTAGTACTACGATCTAGTGATATTTTTCTTCACTTATTAGGGAGGGGTCTTAGGTTCAATTCTCGCCAAATGCGAATCTGAACCACATTATTGTTAGCCCATTGTGAGACTTAACATACTCCCTTTCCATTGGTGTAGATAATATCGTTTTTAATCTTGATCAAATAAAATTAACAATAAGAACCGTTCAATTTATTAATCTTTATTTGAAGATCACTCCTATAAAAAGAAAAAAACTATTTGAATTATAGATCGTTTAATTATCCCAAACTTATGAAATAAATAGATAATTCATCATGAATATGTTATTTGTTTTATACATTTGGCTAGAGTGTTGATGGCGAATGGTGAAGAGAAAGGAAAATTTAGAAAATTAGCCGAAATTTGTGGCTGTGTATGCTTTCATTGATCTGTGTTTGCGTTTTTCTCTTGGTTTTGTATGCAATAAAATAGATCAATGCCTTCACAGTAGCGCTCGTCACCAAAGCAGCTCGGCAATGATCAGGACCATCGCCACCACCAACGACAATGTCCTAAGCAATCTCGACCACAAGATACACACCAACTCATGCAACAAGATAAAAACCAATTTTTAACAACATAAGCTCCACCGTCCTCAACAAATTCAATTATATCATCAATATTCAGGATAGAAAACAGAAGCAAAACCAACCAACAAAGCCCTCGCTCCTCAATTCTTAAAAGTTAAAAGCACATCATAAATGCAATAATTGGTTTATAATTATGTGCCAGAAACATACAAAGTATAACGAAATACAAACAGAAAGCACACTATTCAAAACTTTTCAGTATATCAAAGCAATTTGGAAAGAGAGTATTGATAGCTTGTGCAAAAATGTAAGGGGAAAATAAATTAGGATCAAAAGCTTTCAAGTAGATATGACATAAGAATATGAAAAGAACCACGAAAGCTTTCAGATTGCCTCCAAACCATGGAAAATATATAGTTTTGTAATATTTTAGTTAAGAAAGGGCGATGTAGTATTATCATGTTAAGCTTTCATTAGAATTAAGAAAAATTATAATGATTGGTTAAAATTCTATTCATGGTCTAAATTTTGGCTAACGTTTCAAAATTTTCCTCTTCAAATAAAAGACCAAAATTTGAATGGTTACAAACTTACGATTATAAAAGAGAAAATTGTAGCACTAGTATGCATTACTAGTAATTGCTAAGGTGCTTTATGAAGTATTAACCATTGGTTAATGCTCATCTCCAGCTCTGTTTCTAGCCTTTCATTTCATAAACAGCCTTTCCGCGTGGATTAGCAATCAAAGCAGAAATTGTGTGGTTCCAGGTGCTGTCACTAGATTGAGATATGTAGAGGGGTGGGGACTTCAACTGCCTTGCAATGATCACTCAACTAAAAATCCATGGTCATTAGTCCCTTAACTCATCAAAACGTACAACTACGGTCATTTTCGTTAACTTCGTCAGAATTCCGTGAAAATGAGTTATACTGGAATGACCATTACTATAATTGGGTTAAAGTTGAGGAACCATTTCTCCAATTGAGTTAAAGTTGAGGGACAATTTCTCCAATTGGGTTAAAGTTGAGGGACAATTTCTCCAATTGAGTTAAAGTTGAGGGACAATTTCTCCAATTGGGTTAAAGTTGAGGGACAATTTCTCTAATTGGGTTAAAGTTGAGGGACCATTGCTACAATTTTTCTCATTTGGTTTTCCCTATTTGCCCCTCAATTCAGCCTCATGTGCGTGACACATGACTCATTTTGATGGAAGTTCTAACAAAATTAAAGAAAATGACCATAGCTGCACGTTTTAATGAATTAATGGACCAATGATCATAAATTTTTAGTTGAGGGACCATTAGTCCAATTTAGATAAAGTTGAGAGATAATTGTTACAATTTACTTATTATAAAATTTTGGTTAAGATAAGTTGAAGTCTAATAAGAATCCGGATCCTCTTTATGAGGATCCTGAGGATCTTGAGAATCTATAACATATCAGTTCATTGTACATCGTACGGTCATAAATTATTTTAAATATAAATAGTACCGGACAATAAATTGATTGCACGATATATGATAAAAAGACACGACTTAAGAATCTCTATGATCCTCACCGAAAGATCTGGAGAGGATCCTGTTGGGTCTAATAAAATAGGAATTCTTTTTTATTCCGTTGTTTAATATAGAAAGGTTTCTCTCTTTTGTGGCTACAATCGAAAGCGAGTGAAAAATACAAGACCTTTCTCTCCCAACCTTTCATCGCCAGCAATTGCAGCCAGATCGAGGTATATCTCTACTCTTGCTTTCTCTCTACCATTTTCCTGTCTCGATTTCTCTGAGAAAGTTAGGGTTTTGATTTGCATTCTTGGATTAGATTTGTAGATATTCCAATGCATCTCAGTTTTCTCTGATTTAATAACAGAATCTGGCTCTTGGTATTCTAACTTTGCTTTATTTGCATCAAGATTGCATTTTTCTTGGTTTTCTATATAATCCATCAGCAAATTTTTTAGAAATTGGATGTATTTTGTGTATATTTACTTTTGGAATTCTTTGGTGTTGCTATTTTTGTGTGGTGTCAGAAGCTTAGGTTCCATCTGCTAGAAACTTGAATTACTGAATTACATTCGTAAAGGTTCTCATCAGGCCATTTACCGTAGTTTACATTGTCCAATTCAAGCCTTTCTTTGACAATATTTTCGGGTTCTTTGAAACGATGGCAATGTGAAACTGGGAAGCGCATTTTTGTTTGCTTAGTTGTACGATATTTGAGAGGCCGAATATTATACTATTCGCCCAACCGAAGAGGTTGTTGGAGGTTTTAATTTCTTGGAGAAAAACAAGGACTAAACCTGGGAGGACACGTAATGGTCAGTAGATACGCCTTCTGAAATTTATGCATGATAGTGGACTCTAAATCAAAATGTAAAGGAAACTCGAATGTGTCCTGTTAATGGTTGTTTGGCTTTATGAGATTTTTGGGGTGGTCTTTGAAGAGTTGGTGCGATATGAGGTGACTCTTCGGTTGAAGATTTCAGCATAAGCTTTTTTTTTTTTTTTTTTAAGCATTTTAATTTGCTCTAGTATAAGTCTTATTATCATTCTGAATTTACATTTCTACAGGAACTAAGAAAGTGTTAGTTATCCTTGAGTTGAGTGTGCTACGTTGGTAAGTATTAGCGTAATGAAAACTCATATATTGGCTGCGTTATTTATCTTAATGCGTTTAATGTTGAAGCTAGGCGTCTACTTAGACAACTTTGCTTGTTTTGATTTACTATATTAGGAAGTGTGGAAGTTTTGCCATCTCGCTTCATCTGATGAGAAGATTGTGATTGATTAGCTCTTGTTGTTTTTTTATTGCCAATAAAGTTTTAATTCTTGGATTCATAAGGGCACTATATTGATTTTTCATGTTGTAGCGTCAACAAATTCTTAATTGTTAACTGAATGTTGCCTGCAGAAAAACGAGGATTACTCTTTATCATTTGATTGTATCTGATAATTCTCTTTATTTTCTAGACTATGCTTAAGGTCCCAGATCATCAAGTTGCTGGCCACCAAGCTGGTGGTGGAAAGCTTGGCCCTCTTGTAGATGATTCAGGCCACTTTTACAAGCCTCTTCAGAGTGACGAGCGTGGTTCCCATGAGGTAGCATTCTATACAGCATTCTCTACTGACACTAGGATTCCAGACCAATTCCGCAAGTTCTTCCCTGTATTTCATGGCACTAAGCTTTTAGAGGCGTCTGATGGTTCTGGTCTGTATCCTCACCTGGCCTTGGAAGATATTGTCTCAGGCCGAACCAATCCTTGTATACTGGATGCTAAAATTGGTGCCAGAACATGGTACCCACAAGCTGCTGAAGATTATCTCCAAAAGTGTCTTAAGAAAGATAGAGAAACTGCGTGCCTGGAACTGGGGTTCAGGATATCTGGACTTCAAGTGTATGGAAACAAACTGACTGGACTTTGGAAGCCCGACAGGCACGTTATTCAGAGCAGTAGCGTTGAAGATTCTAAGTTAGCTCTTAGGAAATTTATATCTTCTAACCCATCTACCGATTCAGATATCAAACCAGATTGTTCTTTCGCATCGACTGTCTATGGTGGTCCTGATGGGATATTGGCACAGCTGTTGGTACTGAAGTCATGGTTTGAGGAGCAAACGTTTTACCATTTCTATTCTTGTTCAGTTCTGATGGTTTATGACAAGGAATCGATACTGCAGGGGGAGAATCGAGGTGCTCAAATTAAACTTGTTGATTTTGCGCATGTCATTGACGGGAGAGGTGTAATCGACCATAATTTTTTGGGCGGGCTCTGCTCCTTGATAAAGATGATCACAGATATTGTCACCAGTTCTAGTACTTGAACCGACGCATGTTGACAACTCTGAAAAAAAAGGAGAAATGAAGTACCCTGTGGGTAGCTTTCTTTCTTCCTTGGGGGATTTTGGATTCCAATTTCATGAATATTCAATTTCTTCCATTTAACGATCCTTTTTTTTTTTTTTGTTACTGAAGTAATTGAAAATTGTTGATGGTATTTATTGAATTTTTTATTATTTAATCGTCTCCTTACAGTTGTTTTACCAATATCCTAGGCAAAGATCCTTGATTTTTGAAATCAGAATAATTCTCTGCTATATCCTCGGTTGTATACCGCATTGTGTAATGTGGCCAGAAACAGATTCCCTCTGGGGTGTAATCGGGAGTATATCCCCTACTAATATTTCTCGTTTTACATTCCACGTAATGAGGGAGATACTGATAGCGGATGTACAACTAGTTATAAGTTAAGAGTCTTTTAGGAGAGCGGTGATGGTCTGCAATCAAAAGTGCTGCAAGGACAGATTCTAACATGTAAGTGCGTGTATATCCTTGTATTAGTAAATCTTCGTCCCGTTACACACGCCGAACGTGTCCCACCCGATGAGTCTTTGGCCGGACATTGATGTGTTCCGGCCTTCCGGACCGAAGAACTTCTCCAAATGTTCACACACAAGTCATTCTACAAATCATTGTTGGGGTCCCATCAAATGGAAACAGGGCTGGTAATAATTGACAGCATAGCTTTCTTTAAATTTTTTTCAACGTCACTGTCTAAAGCGCCAGTGCAGCCATTTCCCTTTCCTGTAATAGCAAGGAAGACCTGCAGATTCAGGAAACATCTAACATGGGATAATGTCTTGAATTTCTGTCTGAGTGGGGTCCATGGAATGTTCTCTGCCGACCTAGGAGCTAAAAAGCAAATCTCCGACCACTCAGTGAGAGCCAAAATATAATTGTCCTTTAAGCAAAAGCACTTCTTACAACATAATCCATTTCAAATCCAGCAGTGAACTCCAAGCTTGCAAACATATTTTACTTCCATTTCTTGCAACCTCAAAAACATTACTTATATAACTCACATGAAAATCAAACATAGATTACGGCGAAAACGTTACTCAAGATGAGTTCGTATTTTTCCTGCTGCATTGTTTTTCTATCTGTCATCTGTTTCTGCACCAAAATCTGTTCTGCAGACTCCGATAACCTCCAGGACACTTGCCCTACGTCCCCGCCAGGAAAGCAAACCATCTTCATCAATGGCTTCCCGTGCAAGAATCCAAACAGCACCGCTGCCCCCGACTTCAAAACCTCCAAGCTAACCGAACCTGGCAACACAGACAATTTCCTTGGCTCCGCAGTGACTCTAGTCACTGCTGCAGACTTTCCAGGCCTCAACACGCTTGGCCTCTCAATTGCGCGAACAGACTTGAGAGTAGATGGCATGGTGAGCCTCCACTCCCACCCTCGGGCATCCGAACTGTTCTTTGTGAGCAAAGGAATTGTGCTTGCTGGGTTTATTGACACCAAAAACCAGCCATTCCAACAGGTTCTTGCAGAAGGAGATGTGTTTGTTTTCCCAAAGGGTTTGCTTCATTTTTCTCTGAATTTTGGGTATGATTTCGCCACTGTTTTCTCAGTTTTCAACAGCCAGAATCCAGGGGTTGTGGAAATTTCTGGTGCCATATTTCAATCTGATCTGGATATGATTGACAGGATGACAGAGGGGTTTCTCACTCATCACATCGGAAATCTCACTCTTAACAAGCGGCAATTCAGAAAGTTAAATCCTATCATTTGAAGATAAATGGTTCTGAGTGTATGATCTAGTAGTTAAATACGTAGGAGTGTTTGAAGTGTGGCACTAGTCTCATGAGTTTGTGGTTTGAGATTAAGAGTGATCATATTAAAGCTATTCTAATTTATGGGGTGGGGTTCAGACTTGAATGTAAGAGGACGGACATACTGTTTTGACCAACAGTCCTAATTCACATCTACAAAAGTGTTTATCAAGTAAGACTGCCCTTGCTATATATAATGCAAAGCTTTATACCCTATTTTATGGCAGAATCCATTGCTTTTGTGTTTTCTATCTTCCACATGCTGTTACAGTAGTGTAAGACTGAGAAATGTTTTGTTGATTGACGGTATTTTATGGTATGCCGTCAAACTGTCAATCTAAAGCATTAACTTTTTCTCTTCTCGAAAACGAGGAGGAGGAAGTAAAGAAAATTAATAACGAGCAAATCATGACCCAAAATTTTTAATTTTATTCATAACGGAAACATGTATTAATGGAAGATCAGCGTTGCACCATATGTATCAAATATGATCAAGGAATATATGGTGCTTTTTTTTGGTAGTCTTTAGAAACATTACGATAGCTCATGATCATCTAGTCTCATTGACTGAGAGTTTATGAGCAAGAAAGGAATAAAGAAGCACTTTGATAAATAGCACAAAGTGGAAAAGAGTTGCATCAACAAACCAAAAGCCCCCAAGAAGTCACAAACCCAATAATTATGACAGCAAATCATACCAAACAAGGGCTAGGACGAAACGAAAAGCTAGGAAGAAAAGGTTTGACAGAATGGATCAAGCCGAAGATCAAACCCCAAAACAACCAAAGACCAAGCACTCAGACCTCATGAAACCCCAAACTATGAGACTGTAGACATCGAAATTTCAGTAAAACAAATGTTCACCAATGCATTAAAGTTTTGACGTGTCAAGGCATACATGACATACGCCACGTGTTGTACAAATTGTACACATGGTGTGTGACTCAACAAAATAGGAAGAAATACCCTTGAAGGATTAAACAAGTTTTTCTTCTCATGTTGGGCAATGACAAGGCAAGCACACTTCAATCCATTACGGATCAAAGCAAGTTTTTCTCATTTGGGCAATGACAAAGCATACACATTTCAAGTTTAAAATGGTGTTAAGTGGGAAATTAGACCATAAGTTACACCACTTCAAGTTTAAAATGGTATTAAGTGGGAAATTAGGCCATAAGTTACACCACTTCAAGTTTAAAATGGTGTTAAGTGGGAAATTAGACCATAAGTTACACCACTTCAAGTTTAAAATGGTATTAAGTGGGAAATTAGTCCATAAGTTACACCACTTCAAGTTTAAAATGGTGTTAAGTGGGAAATTAGGTCATAAGTTACACCACTTCAAGTTTAAAATGGTATTAAGTGGGAAATTAGGCCATAAGTTACACCACTTCAATTTCAATATTGCATTAAGTGGGAAAATTAGGCAATGGTGCTTGGAAAGGAAAAAAATATTTTGTGGTGGTGATTCATTCTCAAAGCCTATAAATAGGCTTCTCCATCAAGGTATCAAGCATCAAGGAATTCACAAATACATTTCTCTACTCCAAAATTAGAAGAGGAATTCCCCAAATCCTTGAAGCTTTGAAACTCCAAAGCTTCCAACCATCCAAATTCCCAAGAATTCCGAAGGATCAAGAAAGCCCTCTTCATTCTTCGTCAAATCCTCCTTCAAGATCAAGCCCCGACGGCCCTTGAAGAACTTACACCAACTCAAGATCAAGCCCCGACGGCCCTTGAAGAAAGTGTTCATTGTTCATCATCCGTTCATCCTAAGCTCAAGCCCCAACGGCCCTTTGGATCAACAACATCAACAAATCCACACATCCAATCGTTCTTCAAGATTAAGCCCAAAAGCCCTTGAAGATCCGTTCATCCATCCTCCTTCAAGATCAAGCCCAAAAGCCCTTGAAGAAATCCACACAACCATTATTCAAGATCAAGCCCCGACGGCCCTTGAAGAAAGTGTTCATCGTTCATCAATTGTTCATCCTTAGATCAAGCCCCGACGGCCCTTTGGATCAACAACTCATCCACAAACCTACACCCTGCGAAGATAGAATCAGAGGACCAAATTTGAGAGAGATCGTAACCCCAAAATCATAAACACAAAAATATTATTTTGTACACGTTATTCTTGTTTCTTGTTTCAAGGAACTTTCGTGTTCACAAATTTGGCACGCCCGGTGGGACATCTCTACCTCTCATCTCTATCCTCAAATCATCGAAAAACGCAAATGGCATCAAGAAAGGATCAAGCTGTTCCTGCAATCAAAGCAAAGAATAGGAACATCATCGCCGCAAGTGGTGATATTTCGGGCACCATAACCCGAAGTGAGGCAAGAGCTCTTTTTGCCGCGGCTTCCGCCCCTGCATTAACTCTGTCAAAGGAACAAGAGCACCTGAGGCACGAGCCTGTGATCACCCTAGCCTCGCTAAGGGCATCAAGAGGGGAAAGCCTGAGGAAATACTCAGAGTCCCTACTCTCCGACGCTGATTCAAGCGGCAGTACAACCATGCAAGTCATGACCACTGGAGTAACTTCAATCGAGGAGCAGCTGGCTCAGATGAATGAAGCAATCGCAAAGCTCACACGGACTGCAGAGGAGAAAAACTTGCAAACCGACGGACTCATCAACCGTCTGGAGGCACAGCATGGCGTCAAAATGAAACCAAGCTCTCTTCCAACTAAGAAGACCGAAGAAAGCTTTAACCCAAATGCCTACGAACTCATGTCAAAGGCTAGGCATGACTTTGCTTCCTCTTCAAATCTTGGAAAGAAGGTTTCAAACAGCGTCAATGACAAAGAACGTAACCTCACCAAAACTCAAAAGAAGTTGAAGGAGCATGGTTACGAAGTTGACAACAACAAAGCCGGACTTGGCTTCACACCAAATGCACCTGTGAAGATTTCAAGCAAAGTGAAGAAAGCTAGCGCTCAACACATCAGCGTGAGCATTGAACAAGACCAAAAAGAGCCTAAACCCGCCCTTCGGACGTCGGTCTTCGATAGGATGAGCCATTCAAGCTCCAGAATTTCAGTGCTTGCATTGGTAGTCAAGGCCGAACCTCTGTCTTCAAGAGGCTTAGCACGCCAACATCCCAAAGCTCTGTTTTTGAAAGGTTGTTAAAGCCTAAGAAACAAAGCAACACAGCTATCTCTCCTCTGCGACGATCAGCTTCGGAAAGATTTGAAGATAATGAGAAGCCTTTTGGAAAGAGGAAGACAACACCAAAGGAAGAAAAGTTCGATGGGCTAGCAGAAAAAGGTGACATTCGAAGCTTGATTCCTTCAAGGATGAAGCGCCAAGCAATCCTAGAGGTCAATACAAAAGGACCACTGAAGGTAAGGAGGCGCATCATCGTCCACACTGGCAAATCTTCATGCCAACAAACCCAAGAGGACGGCACTGAAGATGAAATCCCTAAGAAAGATGTCACTTCTGGCTCTTTCGACTCAAAGTCTTCACCTCGACTGTTGGGGGCATGCTCCAAGTCAAGTGAAATTGAAGGATGTGTACGTGAAGCCCCACTACATGGCAACACTCTCGGAGCAGGAGGCATCGGAGCAGGAGGTATCGGAGCAGAAGGCATCGGAGCAAGAGGCATCGGAGATAGAGCATTCGAGGCCTCAATACTTGGCGGAACGCTGGATGACCCAGGAAAAAGGTGCCTCTGGAAGAAAGACGCAAGCCTTTGACGGTCACTTTGCATTCGACCTTGAGATTCTTGCATCTCATCAAGCTTCCTCTTCATGCCCGACGAATAGTTATTTGCAAGCACATGCAAACTTCTATTCTCGTACTTAAGCTGTTTAATCTCCTGCTTAAGATCTTCCACCTCTGCCATCAATGATTCCACTTGACGAGACCGAGCAAGCAGGCGTTGGCCCATGTTGGACACAGAGCTCGCACACTGAACACTGAGAGCGAGGGACTCTTGAACGGCCAACTCATCGGACCGTCCTGAAAGCAGCCTACTATCTGTTGGTGTGAGGAGGTTCCTAGCAACTATTGTAGCTGTTGTTGCATTCTGCATCACTGAGTCTTCACCTGTAAGAGGACCGTTAGAAGATAAGAAAGACGGGCACCATACATTACCTTGACGCAGCGCAACCGGATCACTGCTGAGACTCAATTCTAAGCTAAGGTTCGATGGGTTAGTCATTTTTCAAAAGGTGTTAAAAGAGATGGGTGGATGGAGTTAAAACTCAAAAGGCCAGAGATGATTTTCAGGAATGAGCAACCTTCAAAGTGTGCATGTTAGAGGTGATCAATACCTCTATAAAAAGGAAGAGGCGTTGGTTCAGAAATCGAAGGGCCGCTTATTCAAAAGTGAAGAGACATCGCTCTGCAAATCTCAAAAGCTGGATTTTCCGGCATAAGTTGGCGACGCTTTCTCTGCTTTTCAGAAAACGCGTACAGCTTTGTCAAAAGAGGCGCTCGTTCAGAAATCGAAGAGGCGTCGTTCAGAAATCAAAGAGGCGTATTCAAAGATCGAAGAGTCGTCACTATTTCAAAAAGCCGGATTTGCGGGATCAAAACGTTTGTCGACAAGGGTAAAAGAACAGTACCACCACTTGCTATTGGGAAATCCCTATATATGTCGACCTTCATCTTTTATGGCAAGGCAGACCTGCAAACAAAAAAAAAAAAATGCCTAACTCTTCCTCACCTCTGAGAGTGCACTCCCAGCCCTGCTCTCAAGTACTCATCTTCAACTATTGATGTACCCCCAAAGAAGATACCAGATGCCTGGAATACAGATGAGGCAGGAGGAAACGGTAAATCGAAGCATGTGGAGACAAGCACAACAAATATATGTGTTGATTCATTCGCTGCTTCTTCAAAAGCAAAAGTATCTCATATCATCAAGGGCGAAAGCAAAGGTATCTCATATCATGCTTTTTCCCTGTCTTTTCCTTTGCCCTTGTTCTCACCTGCCAAGACAAGGACAGAGAGAGCAATATGTCGGAACCTCCACTCAAACTTGCGCTGCCACCAAGAAGTGATGGTCCATTCAAATGCAAGGTTTGCATTCTACTCCTGTATCAGAAAACAAATACTACAAGAGAAGATGCCAAACCTGCATAAGGAAATACCACTTCTGCAAAGGGGAGCAAGTAAGGCAAGTGAAAATGATACATTGAAGCATGTGGAGACAAGCTACAACTGCATATGCTGAGCTATCCTCTAACCCTCTTCAATACGAATTGGAGAGATTGAACAAAGAAACAGAAAAAAGGAGTAAGCTCAGACCTTCGGGGGAGACCAAAAGAATCCTGCTACCCAGTTCAAGAGTAGCACAAAGGAAAATCAATGAGTGGAGGAGACCAAAAGAATCCTACACCCAATTCAAGATCAAGCCTCGATGGCCCTTGAAGAAATCACAAGCCCGATTCGAAATCAAGTGTTCTCCACCCTTGAATCAAAATCAACTCCAGATAAAAGGAGTAAGCTCAGACCTTCGGGGGAGACCAAAAGAATCCTGCTACCCAGTTCAAGAGTAGCACAAAGGAAAATCAACGAGTGGAGGAGACCAAAAGAATCCTACACCCAATTCAAGATCAAGCCTCGATGGCCCTTGAAGAAATCACAAGCCCGATTCGAAATCAAGTGTTCTCCACCCTTGAATCAAAATCAACTCCAGATAAAAGGAGTAAGTTCAGACCTTCGGGGGAGACCAAAAGAATCCTCCAGCCCAATTCAAGATCAAGCCTCGATGGCCCTTGAAGAAATCACAAGCTCGATTCGAAATCAAGTGTTCTCCACCCTTGAATCAAATTCAACTCCAGATAAAAGGAGTAAGTTCAGGCCTTCGGGGGAGACCAAAAGAATCTTCCAGCCCAGTTCAAGACTAAGCCTGTGGAAAATCAACGATTGGAGGAAACCAGAAAATCTTCCAGTCGAACTCAAGATCAAGCCTCAATGGCCCTTGAAGAAATTTCCAGCCCAATTCAAGATCAAGCCTCGACGCCCCTTGGGTTGACATCTACATTAAGGGACTTCAAAACGCATCTTTTACACGTGTCAAGCACATGTCTACGACACGCCTTGAAGTGGGGGCATTTGTAGACATCGAAATTTCAGTAAAACAAATGTTCACCAATGCATTAAAGTTTTGACGTGTCAAGGCATACATGACATACGCCACGTGTTGTACAAATTGTACACATGGTGTGTGACTCAACAAAATAGGAAGAAATACCCTTGAAGGATTAAACAAGTTTTTCTTCTCATGTTGGGCAATGACAAGGCAAGCACACTTCAATCCATTACGGATCAAAGCAAGTTTTTCTCATTTGGGCAATGACAAAGCATACACATTTCAAGTTTAAAATGGTGTTAAGTGGGAAATTAGACCATAAGTTACACCACTTCAAGTTTAAAATGGTATTAAGTGGGAAATTAGGCCATAAGTTACACCACTTCAAGTTTAAAATGGTGTTAAGTGGGAAATTAGACCATAAGTTACACCACTTCAAGTTTAAAATGGTATTAAGTGGGAAATTAGGCCATAAGTTACACCACTTCAAGTTTAAAATGGTGTTAAGTGGGAAATTAGGTCATAAGTTACACCACTTCAAGTTTAAAATGGTATTAAGTGGGAAATTAGGCCATAAGTTACACCACTTCAATTTCAATATTGCATTAAGTGGGAAAATTAGGCAATGGTGCTTGGAAAGGAAAAAAATATTTTGTGGTGGTGATTCATTCTCAAAGCCTATAAATAGGCTTCTCCATCAAGGTATCAAGCATCAAGGAATTCACAAATACATTTCTCTACTCCAAAATTAGAAGAGGAATTCCCCAAATCCTTGAAGCTTTGAAACTCCAAAGCTTCCAACCATCCAAATTCCCAAGAATTCCGAAGGATCAAGAAAGCCCTCTTCATTCTTCGTCAAATCCTCCTTCAAGATCAAGCCCCGACGGCCCTTGAAGAACTTACACCAACTCAAGATCAAGCCCCGACGGCCCTTGAAGAAAGTGTTCATTGTTCATCATCCGTTCATCCTAAGCTCAAGCCCCAACGGCCCTTTGGATCAACAACATCAACAAATCCACACATCCAATCGTTCTTCAAGATTAAGCCCAAAAGCCCTTGAAGATCCGTTCATCCATCCTCCTTCAAGATCAAGCCCAAAAGCCCTTGAAGAAATCCACACAACCATTATTCAAGATCAAGCCCCGACGGCCCTTGAAGAAAGTGTTCATCGTTCATCAACTGTTCATCCTTAGATCAAGCCCCGACGGCCCTTTGGATCAACAACTCATCCACAAACCTACACCCTGCGAAGATAGAATCAGAGGACCAAATTTGAGAGAGATCGTAACCCCAAAATCATAAACACAAAAATATTATTTTGTACACGTTATTCTTGTTTCTTGTTTCAAGGAACTTTCGTGTTCACAGAGACACAATAAACCGTAAAAATGAGACCACGGGTGGCACAAGGAGCGGCAAACGACTTCCACAGCAACAGAACGGCAATTGAAATGAAATGATTCTACTGTCTCCGCGCACTCCTCTTCTGCACATTGAAATTAGTAACAAGTGAGATGCACTGGGTTGTGTGATTCTGTGAAATGAACTGATTCACTTACTTGATATTTTGAAACATAACGAATCACATATACTGAATGGAAGAAGTTGGTTTGGTCTTGAACATAGAGAGGAAGGCAAGTCAGAAGAGAATCTGGAAACCTAATTAAGGAAGCGAAACGACGAACCAACAAAATCTTGAATGAAAAAAATAACTAAAAAGACATAAAAATGCTGATAAAGTAAGAATACCAAATGAACAAGACAACAAAAATGAATTAACCTCAAAAAGTTCAAATGAAGAAATATATACCTATTTCATCGGTTCCCCAAGTACAAGGGAAGGAACATGTTGGACTTTATAATATCCTCTCCTCCTTCATTAAGCCTACTAGAATCTTTTAGGCATCCAATTGATAGTCAATTCTTGGAGGGTAGTGATATATCTCAGATCATCTGAAACTGTCTTCAATTTACTGCAGGAACCAATGTGCAATCGATCAAGACGAGGTATGGCTCCTTCCTCCACCTTCCACTCTTCTAGGTTTGTCAACAAGAAAGGGGAAAGAGATTCAAGACGAAGAAAGCCTCCTTTGAGAACACCATTGTCGAACCCTGATTATAAGCGAATGCTGAGTTAAGGCGAAGAGATCTCAGGTTTGGTATCTTCTCTAGCATTGCCATTTGGTCGGCCATGAGGTCACTTAGAGACAACCATAACTTGGTGAAGTTGGGAAACTGCAGGAGGTCCGTTGGTAAGTCATCGATCGGTCCCCACAACATCAGCTTGTATACATTACGATAATTTAATGTAAGAATTACATAAGAATTAAGCTAATAATATTAGCAACGCAGTGTTAGGATTACCAACATGAACAAACAGATTAGTAACAACCAAATCATAACATTACATTAGTCGCAAGGATGACTTACCTGATGGAGTCGCCATTGAATGAATAACAGAACTAGTCTTCTACTTCTAGCACACAGCAACGATCTCTACTATTGAATAGGGTTTAGTTTTGAGAATCTAATTGTGTGGAAGCAGGGACTTCTTCAGCAGATATATATATATATATCTTCACATTATCATGTTAGAGTTTCACTCGAACCAGCCTATTACCAGTAAGAGTGATAATCTCTATATCTTCAATAAGATTAAGTCCCATCGTGACTCTATATATCATTATATACTTAATAAGAGTTTTAATTAGTTAGTTGCACAATTATTAAACTCCACGATTCTTATCACGTAAAGGATCTCACCTAACTCGTACAACAAGTTACGTGTAACTCATCAAGCAGTACAGTTGTTATCTAAATTCATTCAAATAAAGTTTTACATTCTCCCACTTGAATGTCAATGATATACCTTAACATAATAAGACTCATGATGATTATTGAGTGTACATAAGCTTGCAACTACTTTGCTTACACTAGTACAAATAATAGTTTGTGCGACGAAGCATAGTTCATCACGCAAAGTAAAAAAATGTTGCTTGAAAATTAGCCCAACAAAAACTTTGTCGCTTGCAAACAGTCACGCAAACGTCGTGAAAGCAAGGTTTGCACGACGAAGGCGTAAATTGCGCTTGCAAAAGGTCTTTGCGTGACGACAATACTTGCGTTGTGCAAAAGATCTTTGCGTGACGACAATACATGTGTTGCGCACCTATCTTTGTGCAACGACAATATCTGTGTTTGTGCAACAACAATACCTGCGTTGCTCAAAAGGTCTCATGTGACACATCTTGTTCTCGTTGTTGCGCAAAGATAGGTGTGTGATGCAGGTATTGTCATCGTTGCGCAAATCCTTTTTTTTTTCCTTTCTTTTTATCAAAATATTTTTAATTTAATTTTTTTTTATAAATAATTTAATTAAATTATAAACAATAATTAATAAACCAAGAAAAAATATTTAATTATAAAATATATGAAAATGTACATACAAGCTGTCTTAACATAAAAGAAAAAACTACAACAAGTAGTCGTTTGGGTTTTGACAGGGCGAAGTGGCTGAGAGGTCAAAGGTAGAGCAAGATCAAGTGTTAGCATCAGGATTTGGAGGTTGGACATCTATAAGGCTTGTAAGATCATGCTCATCTTCTCGTCCTGGGCGAAAAATGGGCTGCAATCTGGGCTTCCCGAGCATCTCGAGCTGCTTCCTAGGCTACAATCTTATCTTTTAGGGTTTCCACTTCCTCCATTGGGATGATGACCTGTCCTGTGGTCGGTCTGGAAGAAGAGGCACTCGTCTCACAAACCCGCGCCTTCCCCATACCTCGAACAACCTTGCCATGATGACAACCGAGCTTCTAATCCAGGATCTCAGTCAGGATCTAAAGACCTGCATCCTCGGGTATACTGACGTCCTTGATTGAGGTCTCCGGGGGAAGGTGCGATGCTGCTTCTTGGAGAACAGCAGTGTCATTCTCCACCATAGCAACCTGTAATAATAAAGAAAACATTTAACATTTAATAAAAAAAATGTAATTAATATTTGAACGATTCATAAATATAAGAATAATAACAATTACATATACTTACATGGAGCTGCTTAGTGGTCTCATCGCTTGGTCGAACATAAACGTCCTTGAACATGTTAACCTTTGGGACCTTAGAACCCTCCTGAAGAAAAAAACATTAAGAAAATTTTATTAATCAATAATAAAATATAAATTGTATAAAATTAAAAAATTAATATACTTTTACCTGACGTCGCGCCTCAACCCTATATGAGAATGGCATCCAACTGGAATGGTAGAGAAGTGTCTTTGACTGCTGAGCTTTCTTGCTAGTAACATATTTCTTTTGTTAAACACACAATATACATGTTAGTGGGACTATTTGAAAGAAATTATTAAAAAGCTTAAAAAAAAATAACTAAAACATTAATAAATTATTACGAAAATATTATGCACATACCACAAATTTTGTGTCCGCAAAATGTTTGCAGAGCCACTCCTAATCCTCCAGTTGCTTCAACAACTCGATTGGGCAACCTTCTAGGCGAGTAATCTCCGAATCATCCCATTTCTTAAAATGAGCGTGGAGTTCGCACTTACAATTTTTGTACCAGGTTGCTAAGTTCTCCTCTAAGTAAGCGGTGGCCTCCGGGGATATGTCTTCAAGATTATAAATGACCTACAAATATGAAAATAGTAAAATAATAGCATGAAATTTAATAATATTAAGATAATATACTTTGGTTTATAATATTTGTAAACAAAATTAAAAAATTATAAAGTCTAAAAATTAATATAATAACCGACAACTCATGCTGCACCAATTTCTTTGTCCTCTCGGGAATTTCTGCCCAAGACTCCCATTGCATAGGACAATGCCGCCAAATAACAAAACCACAACTAGTTGCGATGCTGCTATGTTGCTGTGAGGTAGACGTTCCACGATGTCGCAAGTCATACGCAATCTTGATCTTTTCGTTGGACACATGTATGTTGTGTGCCAGCTTCAGCATTCGATTAGGCCCCTTGGTGTTTTTTTTTGGCTGCCCAAAATAACTTAAATGGTGAAAACCCTAATCTTAAATTTCTACATAAAATTTGGCAAAACCTACCCTAATAGTATGTCATTTCCCAAAACCAAAAAACAGTAAAATAACAGTAATTCATACCCACAACACATTTTCACAATGCAGCAAATTTTCACAGTCATAAAAATAGTAGTTTTAAAATGAAAAAAAAATACATCGTAGTGAGAATTAGAAAAAACTACCTGGCTGGGAGCCCCCACCCTCGACTATGGATGTCGAGGAAGTGTGATCAAAAGGCTCCGAATGGCGGCGGCGGCGTCGGTGAGGCCGCTGTGCACTGAGTGGCTGAACCGACACTGATGACGCCAATGATGCGGGCACCTAGGACGCCCTAGGAGTAGCCTCAGTAAGGGGTGTAGCTCCCTAATCAATGGAGCACTCACGTCTAAAAGCAGTAGGTGTTGAAAATGTGGGAGGCGCATTGGTTACACCTCGATGACGAGTGATCAACTGTGACATCTATACAATTTTTTAACCATAAGAATATAACATTAGAAACTAATCCTTTCTTGCATTTGAAACTAATCAATTAGCAGCCAAAGTAATATCATATCCTTTCTTGCATTTGTTCACATATATATAAAGCAATATTGCAAAGGTAGAAACAATATTAATTCAAAAGTAAATACTAATGCAAGGGCAATATACAGATTAAGAGAACAAGGGCAATACCAAAGTTCATTACATTTAATAGTTCTCAAAGCAAATTGAAAGCTTAAGAAAACACTCTAGTATTCAAGATTCATAAAGGAATTTGAAGTCCCCGTACAAGGTAAGCAACTAAGTTTAAATGAGCATACCAAATTCTACTACCCCATAAATTTTACATCAAACTATTTCCAGAAATTCATAATATCAAGAAAATAAATTAATTTTTAAATTTTTTTGTACTAAAATAGATAACAAATAATAAAGGAAAAAGAATGAGAAAAAGGAAAATCAGCAAAAGTAAAGCTAGCTGAAGAAAGCAAAAAAGTACAGACCTTCCATAGTAGCAAGCACCATTGTCATCCATAGCTACCAAGATCAACCAGAGACAAACCCACCTTTACCCACTTTCCCAAATCACAAAAATCACCCACTCTACCAAAATCAAAACCCTAAGATCTCGCCAACAAAAAACAACCCACCAATTAAAAAAAATCACAGATTTTCAACCATTCCATTCGCTTTCTTTGCTACCCTTTTTGCCAAACTTCCCTATTTGCTCCCTCTCCCTCTCCTCTCACTTTTTGGGCACTTTTATGATCTTTAGGTAAACAATTGTCCTTTGGAAGCATCATCTTGATAACTCCCAAAAAGTAATCAAAACACTCATTTGACGTACGAAACTTGATCTTGCCATGCATCAACTCCAGAATTGTCGTGATCACTGAAAAGTTCTTGCAACCCAGATATAATTCTTGCTTGGCATTTTTCAATAGTTTTTGAATGCCTCACTATCCATGGTTGGACATACGTCATCTCCCCCTTCCTGATTGGTGTTGGTCGAGGCGTAATGATAAACGTCATTTAGAATATCCATAACTTGTTCATTAGGATCCACATTAGATTCAATAGTCTCCACTCATATCACGTATGAAGACGAAACATGATCTAATTGTTCTCCATGATGATTCCAAGTAGTATAGGTCTCCATCACTCCATTTCTTAGTAAATGAAATTGAACATTTTCAAATGTCTCCCTCATTGAGTTGTTACACCTCCTACACGGACACCGGATATGAGTGGAATCTAGGTTGTATCTAGTTGCAAATTCAATGAACTCATTTATTCCATCCAAGTACTCAACATCACATCAATTCTGATTCTGTATCCACTGTCTATCCATTTTGTGTGCAATCACAATAAAAATACAAGAATTACAACAACTTCAACTATTGTCTTGTCACCTTATGCCTCCAGTAAGGGCCTTATCCAATTCAGGAATGCATAGTTATGTGCCGTAATTTACGGTTTCATTGGATTAAATTTCGACGTGGGCAAATTTCGACAACATCTCTCTATAGTTCTGCAAGTGCATGCCGTAGATACATAATATATACCGTGTACTCAAAGAACATCAGGAAATGTTACCAAAATTTCCATTATCGAAACCTAATTTATGAACCACAAACTACAACACATAATTATGCATTCCTAAACTGTCCAAAAAATGGGACAATTCAAGAATTAATTGGATCGCATTCATACTTTCGCATCCATACACGAAATCCAACTAATTCTCAAACGGGAAACTAAGCTTTTCTTGAAAAAAATGTACGAAGTTAAGTAGTATTGACTTTGTACAGCACAAAACAATTTTGTACGTGATGTACAAAAATACGTGCATACAAATAAATAAAATCACAATAATTAATGAAACTAAATAAAATAGATAAAATTAATAAAGATTAATTTAGCGAAGAAAATACCTTCAAATTTGTTCCTCAATGATATTCGTATACAAAAATCCTATACAAAACAAATTTAGTTGTTTAAGTTTGAATTCTCAATTCAAAGT